CGCCAGCTCGAGTACGCCGGCACGCCACCTACCAGCTCATGCCCGGTGAGCCCTTCCCCTCGGAGACCCCCGTGCCGACCCCCACCCCGGGCGGCGGGCCGCCACCCGCCGACGGCGATAATGGCGGAGACGGCAACGGCGGCGGGGGTGGTCTGAGCGGCGGCGCCTTCGTGGGGATTGCCATCGGCGGCGCCGCCGTGCTGATCCTGGGCGCCGCGCTGGTGTACCTGTGCGGCCGCCGCGGCGGGTTCGATAAGGCGTACCGCAAGTCGGCGCCGCCCGCTTCCGCCGCCGCGGTCGGTGGTGGTGGTGGCGCGCCCGGGTCGCCGGGTATGGTGGAGGCCAACTATGCGAATGCCGCGGGCGCGGGCGCGGGCCTGGGCCTTGCGGCTGCGGCTGCGGGTCATAATCCTAAGAGTCCCGGCCAGGGCACCATCTCGACGTATGATGGGAGGAACTCGGTTTATGCGGGCCCGTATCCGTATCCCGGCACTACCCCGTCGCCTGCACCGCCTGGCGGGGGCCCGGCGCCGGCGTATGGCTTTGCCCCGGCTGGGCAGCACGGTCATCATGATGGGTATGTGGGCGGGATGTATCCGTAAGTCATCTCATTCTACCCACCCCGTAGGGTAGAATTGTGTGTGCGTGAATAGTTACTAATGAGCTCTGGTCTAGATCTCCGCATTCGTCGCCTCGGGCCGATCAGTACACGCCTTTCCTCCAGCCCCAGGCCCCGGCACCGGTGGAGCTGTCAGCCGGGGATGCGCCCCCGCCGACGCAGTCGCCGCCTCCGGGGTATCAGGGGAGGTGATTATGAGCGTCGGGACGTGATGGGTGGCCTTGCGTGAATATATAAAAGGGTAGAGCTGGTTTGGGTTAGGTTTTGGCTTCGGTCTTGCTTTCTCGTTCTGAATCAGATATCCTTCCTCGTATAATGCGTGCGTCTTGGTCTTTACATGTGGTTGGTTGCACGTCCTTGGAACTTTGAGACGGTTACTAGATGGCATGATACACACTCCCTGCAAAGACATTCCAGGTTCCCGGTTTGCCTTGTGGCTTTCATCCCACGTACTGTGAACTTGTCTCCAGCAGACTTGTTCTTGGTAGTCTTCAGTCATTACCAACTTGTCTGGCCTTGTTGCCCACGCCGCAGCCGTACAGATAGTGGGTGTCGTGAGATGGCGCGTGGCTTAACGCCCGGTATTGGATTGCTCGGTGGTTATTGGGTAGTTGGTGGCTGGACTGTTGCCATGCGGCACACTGCCTTGTGCTCTTCCTCCTTGCCAGTTCGTCTTGCGGGATAGGTGACATGACGCAGGGAGGAGGCGTACAACACCGCCGCTTGGGTTTCGTTGGTGGTTATTTAAGAACACCCTCTTGATGATATATATGCCTGTGTATCAAAATGCTCGGTTGGGGCCGCCAACGTACCAAACCACTACTAGACCAAACACCGAAGCTCATCGGAAGAGTTGGTTTCAGCTCAAGCTGGCTTAGGTAGTGAGACACAAGAGGACCAGCTGAATGATGGTGGACTTTCAGTATGGGTTAACTGGCTAGTACAATGGGTTTGTGCTGGCCTCCACGTTGTGCGACCTGAGCCGGAGATGAAGACAATTGGGTTTGGAAGGTTATGATGCGGGGTCCGGTGGATGAGGTTTTGAAGAGAGGAGGAATGGAAACAATGATGGTATTGATCACGGCCGACTTGGGTTCATCCAGAATACAACAACCACAAGCACTGTCTCCGAAGACTTGAGATTCGCCTGCCAGCAGCAGTCCGGACGGATAAGTGAGGGGTGGGTGGGCCAAGCTCGGGATTGAGAGATCTCCAGACCCCGCCAATGGTATTTGGCCTTGTTTCCCGATTTACTTGAGCGGGCTGGGAAATCGGGTTCGGATGTTTTCCGCGCCTCTTTAACTGAAAGTCAAAAGAATAGAGATAGAAAAAACGCCTTCGTGTCCTCGTGGCCAATGCTTCCGGATAAAGGGTTGTATAAAGTATCCATAGCTGCGGAGTTGAACGGGACTCGGAATCCGGGTCCGTAACCAATTTGGAGGTTGTTCTTTCATGACCAGGTTTCCAGGTTGTGGAGGGATGAGCTCTCCTTCCCGTCTAAAGGGTGTGCAGCTCGGAGGATCCACTGATGCTCTGCGGAATTCAAGGTATATTTGTTAGCGTCTACGCTATGGCCAGCCAATAAAACAATATAATTGAGGTACCGGCAAGCGAAGATACCGACCCACCAACCCGTGGCGATCGCCTTGATGCGGCACGCCAGTGGGTTTACGGTTGGTTAAGGACACAGTTGTGAATACCACCATCGTCGGTCTGAGCTCAGCAAACCTCAAATTCCGAACAACAACCGGCAACTCTTCCCCTCCCTCTCGCCCGCCACTCCTCTCGCCGGCGAATTCCAGCATCTTGTCATCCAGCTTGCTGAGCTTGTCTGGGGGCCTTCGCTCCACGATTTTCGACCTTCTCTCTTTTTCCCGATCCCAGCAGCAGCTACCCTAACTACAAAGAGCTCGGCTCCAGTTCTGTGTTGCCATCGCCGTTTCGCAACCCCTGGCCCGCCAACCCCTCGGTCTTCGTTTCCTTCCCTTCCCGCCCGCTTCGCCCTTCTCGCTTTTCCATCGCCAACGACAGTCCCAATTGCGCCAGCCGGTCTGCCATCTTTCGATTACTCGCCCCGCGATTCCCCCTGATTTCCGCAACCACCGACCACAACAATGGCGCAGATGCGAGGATCGGGTAGCTACGGCATGGCCGCGCCGAGTCCCTTTGGAGGACCGTTCGAGGACCAGACAGGGCAGAAGCCCGCTTGATGCGATCCGCCAGCAGACGAGCAAGGTCGAAGGGACCTTTTGGACACCCTGAGTGAGCCGATCAAACCGTGCGTGGGTCTCCCGTTGTTCTTCCCTGGAGTTGTTCTCCCTGACCAGCTTCCCTGGATCCGCTGACGCTCCGTCTAGTTACCTGCCCGCCATCGGGCCGCTTCCTGATCGTCGTGACCTTCATTGAGGACGCGGTCAGAATAATAACACAATGGAACGATCAGCTGCTGTACCTGCACGACTACCGCCACAGTACGTCCTACTCCCGACCAATCTACCTCGCCCCTTCCCCCCTTTTTTTATATCCCATCACGTAACTAACCACCACCTCTCTCCTCCCACAGTCCCCTCCGGCCTGACGCATCTCTTCCTCATCCTTAACGTGATCGCCATGGTGGCGTGCTCGACTCTAGTGATCATCCGCAAGCACTCGGAGCGCGCGGTGGGCGGGTTGATCGCGGTGGTGATCACGCAGGCGCTCGGGTACGGGCTGATCTTTGACCTCAACTTCTTCCTGCGCAACCTGTCCGTTATGGGCGGCCTGCTCATGGTGCTCTCGGACTCGTGGGTGCGCAAGACCAAGGCCTTCGCCGGCCTGCCCCAGCTCGAGGAGAAGGATCGCAAGATGTACTTCCAGCTGGCCGGCCGCATCCTGCTCATCTTCCTATTCATTGGATTCGTCTTCAGCGGCCAGTGGTCTGTCTGGCGCGTCGCCGTCTCGCTGATCGGCTTGATGGCCTGCGTCATGGTCGTCGTCGGCTTCAAGGCCAAGTTCAGCGCGACCTTGCTGGTGGTGATTCTCAGCGTCTTCAACATTCTCGTGAACAACTTCTGGACTGTGAGTACTATTGCTGCTGCGGAGTGTTAGTGAAAGAGGGTAAACAGAGCTCTTTGCTAACCAAACTTAATTCAGCTCCACGAGCACCACCCGCACAAGGACTTTGCCAAGTACGACTTCTTCCAGATCCTGTCCATCGTTGGTGGTCTCCTGCTGCTTGTCAACAGCGGCCCAGGCCAGTTCAGCATCGACGAGAAGAAGAAGGTCTACTAAGCATCTCATGCCGCCGTTTTCCGATAGTATGGTAAATCGCACGCAGAAAGATAAACGGGCGATCCGATTCGGGAAAAAGCCGAGAACGGATTGCCCACCGAGATGGGTGGCTGTGGTTTCGAAGCGGAGGAGGGTCATCGGCTGGGCTCTGCATCAATTTCACGGCGTAGACCCATTTTGATGTAGAAAAAGCCAACAACACAAATGCGCAAAGGGAAAGTTTTGGGTTAAAGGAGTTCTGAGTGGTGTTGCCTCTTTTTGTAGTGTTTGGGTGGGTTACCATACATGTGCTTGAAAAGAAGCCTGTTTCCCGTTCCTCGAATGTCAAGACATTGCAACATTATGACCCTGAACGCCATGACCGAAACATAGGTATCCCCTCCGAGCCTTCCACATCTGCCTTCCATTCCCGGGATCCATGCATGATGTGGCTCCATCTCGTGTTGTTGTACATACACCGTTTGGTGCAAAAACCGAATATGTCCAGGACTTGTTTTCGTTCCTGATATTAGGTTGTCCGAGCGTGCTGCATCGTGGTATCATACCATAACTATATCGTTGAAACCTCCTTCGTTCTTATGTGCGATGTTTGGGTATCAATTTCGCACAAGAATGTTCCTTTCCAACGGCGCGGCGCTTCGTACTTTCTGTTGGACACAGATGAATTCCCGCCAAACCCCTTCCGGTCGTCCCTTCAACCTCGCTGGGCTACTCCTCGTTGGCGCGAAGAGTAGCGGGCATATCCGGCTCTCGGGATAGGAAAATGGCGAATCTTCGTCTCGAGGTAACCAGGCGGCTCAGGGAATAATCAGATCGTCCATGGACCTCTTTGCGATGTCGATAATCCGCATGCATGTCGGCTTATCGCCCGACGACAGCGAGACATATTCACAATTCGACTTCAACACAACACCCGACGCCACCAGCGCATCCATCTGCTCGTGGCGCCGTCGCGAGCGTTGCTCCATCATGTTGATGATGTCCTTCAGCCCGGGCTGCTGGGCGGTTTCGTCATCGACACCCGGCGTCAGCTCGTTGATGCCGTACACGTCCATCTTGAGCAGCGCGCGCACCGTCAGCCGCCAGAGAATCGGCTCCAGCACGGCGCCCTCGAGCCGGTCCGCCGCCCCGCACCTGAGGGGGTCCATCTGAGCCGCCCACCCCCACAGCCCGCCGTACGCCGCCAGTGAGAAGGTGATCTTGCGCCGATTGGCGTCGGCTTCGGCGGCCTCGGCGTCGACCATAGTCAGAATGCGCATGTACGCGTTGGAGACGGAGGGGAGCAGCGCGCCGAGCATCATCAGGCTTTGCAGGGCTTGTATCGGGGGCATGGCGGTTGGTTCCAAGGGCGGGTCGCTGCAGTTTGGACAGAGGATGGTGTCGTGGGCTGTTTTTGTTGCCGTGCGAGCCACACGCATGGCTTCCGAGACTTCGCTAGGAAGGTGCTGAAGGGAATTGAGGGCTAGGTAGATCGCCGAGAGGCAATTGCATGACTTGGTACAGTCCGGTTCACTAGGTGAGGCGTGTGTGCTCGGTGAGTTCGAGGAGGGCGGGGAAAGGCTAGGCATTGTGTCAAGGTCGACTCGTAGTAACTGGCTGACCTCCTCTGCCGTCATCTCGAGTGCTGGTGGTCGGGGTGCGGGGTTGGCGGGCTCATCGAAGTTAATGTCGCTCAGGTTGCTGCTCATGGGCCAGAATGCAGACGGGTGCGGGCGTTGTTCGGTTGGTTTCCCACTCTCATTAGCATTCCCATTCCCAGTTGGCTCTTGGCCCGAGTCAACCTGATCAGGAAGGGGTGGGAACTGAATATTGGGATCGACTATCTCGAGAAAGTTCATGTCCATATTGTTCATGTCGAGAAAGGAGAGGTCCAAATCCATGCCGAGGGTGCTATCGAAGTCGAAATTCGGGGCCATGATCGACTGCACTTCCTCCTGTTTTGGTGGTTCGGTCGGTGCGGTGACAGGAGGTTGTGGTTCGGTTGTCTCAACAGCCCGATGCTTCCTCGGCCTGCCCATGCGCTTCTGGGCAGAGTAAACGCATTTGATGCCCTCACGCTTGCAGCGAGCACATCCATCGACCTCTTTGGAACAAGCAAGTTTTCTGCCTCCTATAAGTTCGTTAGAGAGCGCAAACAATGAGCAGGGCTCCCAGTTGCCTACGGCACTCATCGCAAGCCCGTCGCTTGGGCTGCTCCGCATTCTTCTTTGCGCTCGCGTCCATGGTCGGACGGAGGGGTTCGTCCGTAGTCGCGGGGTGGGTCTGGCGTTTCGTCCTGTTGCTGCGTAATGGGAATAGCGTGTGCGTCTGTGGTGTTTATAAAGAGAAAAAGTGTCGAGGACCGAGTCGTGTCAGGTCTCGGGGTCTGGTGTCTGCTTGCAGCAACCAATGGATTAGTAAAGAGGGGAGGACGGAGGGTGCGCCGGTTGGTGAATGCACAAAGTTAAAGTGGGGGCCGCGCGTTCGCCGAGCTACCTGATAAATCAACAATTGGTGGTAGCATTGAAATCCAAGGTGAGACAAGGTCAACCAGGACGGGACATCAGGCAACCATTGGCATGATCTGTCCATCAGCCGCGTCAAAACACCAACAAGTTTCGTTGACAACCTAGATCCCTTCGCATATGGTCAGAGTGAGAGATTGGTTTCGTATCCACGTGGTCTTTATGCGGCCTGGTCCCCGAATGATTCATCCTCGATCACAACTTGATTGCACGGAGAGTTTCCACTCCCCTGCCCATCAAGGTGCCTGGCTGTCTATAATGTGCGTTTGTGTGTGAAAGCCATTCTTTGGGCCCTCGGTGTGGCTGATATTAGACCACGTAGCTTTATCGGCTCATGTCGCCGCACCCTTTTGCATCTGCATTCATCCCAACGTCTTCCAAGGCTGGGGAAGGGATGGAAGGAACGTGGTGGCCCAACTCACTGATACATCCCATGACTAAAGGAGAAGGTGGGGTAATATGCGCAGGCTAACGTGAAAACAGCTTAGCGTTACCCACTACCCTAGCGCAGGCGGTGAATCAAGCTCCCCGCCAAAAAGTGATAAAACTGGCAGAAAAAAAGTAGGGGCCAAGCAACTTTTTTGGCTGCTACGCTGCAGGCTGTGGACGAACAACAACACCGTACGAGTAGCCGGGACAATGGGGTCAAAAATCACGGATAAGAAGCGCAAATCGAGGGATTCGGAGTCTGAGTCTGACGATGAGCTCGCCAATGGCCTCTTTGACGGTATTTTGTCCCAAAGCGAGGACGAGGAAGATTACCTCCCATCCGACGACGATGACGATGTCGAGGATAGTGAAAACGAGGGCACTGGGGCGAGCGAGGATGACGACGACGACGACGACGACGACGACATACTAAGCGATGATATACCCTCGGATGTGGATAGCGAGGAGGCGATCAACAGGCTCGTCAAACAACAGGAGGAACTTGAAATCACGGAACCGGGCGTCGACCCGAAGCGGGAAGAGGATGATGGCGCAGACAGGAATTACAGGATTGAAAAGGACGCTAATGGAGGGGAGAGATATGTCTACGAGTGCGTTCCCTTGTTGGAACAAACTAGTTTTCGGTTGATATTGACTCGATGTTGACAGCGAGATTGATCCCGTCTACGACTCCGACGATTCCGACGCGAAGGGCCCGGTCAACACGATAGGCGACATTCCTCTAAGTTTCTACGACAGGTGAGAATTTTTCTGTGGCGGGGAATTGGATCGCCATGCTCACACCCGCTGTAGCTATCCCCATATCGGATACGACATCAATGGCAAGAAGATCATGCGGCCGGCGACCGGCGATGCACTTCAGAGTCTCCTAGACAGCATTGAAGTGCCAAAGGGGTGGACAGGATTGACCGATGTGGATACCGGTAACCCTCTCAACCTCACGTACGTTGTCCCTAAACCTCTTTTCGTCAACCGAGCCCTGCTAAACGAGATGCAGTCAAGATGAGCTGGAGCTCGTCCGTCGAGTCCAGATGGGCCTTCTTCCAACTGATCTCCAGGATCCGTACCCCGATACAGTGGAGTACTTCACATCCATCGAGGAGAAAATGCGTGAGTATAATATCCTGCCATTGTTTGTTGACGGGCAAATTAACTTTCAAAAGCCCTCAGTAGTGCCCCGGAGCCCAAGCGGCGTTTCCTCCCTTCCAAGAACGAAGCCAAGCAAATCATGAAATTGGTTCGCGCTATTCGCGAAGGGAGAATCCTACCGTATAAGCCGCCTGAGGAGCGTGAACGGGAAGAGGAGGAACAAGAGGAAGTGCATTTTGACCTCTGGCAAAACGAGGAGCCCCAGGCCCCCAATCCGATGCATATCCCTGCGCCGAAGCTGGCGCCTCCCGGCTACGACTTGAGTTACAATCCGCCAGAGGAGTACCTGCCGTACGTGTTTTCGGGACTTCGTTTTCGTCCTCGCCATCTATTAACACAGCTTTTCTCAGGTCGAAGGAAGAGCGAGAAGAATGGGAGAATGCGGATCCCGAGGACCGAGAAAAGGAATACCTTCCCCAAAAGCACAATGCCTTGCGGAAAGTGCCTGCCTGGGGTAACTTGGTCAAGGAGCGGTTTGAGCGGTGCATGGTACGTTGATCGTGAAAGCTGACATTGTGCGCGATAACTGACTTCGGATGTAGGACCTTTATCTGGCGCCTCGTATCCGGAAGAACAGGCTCAACATTGACCCTAATTCGCTTCTCCCCAAACTACCTTCTCCTTCCGAGCTCAAGCCTTTCCCCACTGTTGCTCAGACTATCTTCCGTGGCCATGAGGGTAGAGTAAGAAGTGTTTCGGTCGACCCGGTAAGTGCTCATTTACGCCTAGCTCAGGTTTGCCGGGCCAAAAACAGCGAAGCTAATAGTCCACAGACCGGCGTGGCGCTCGCGACCGGAGGCGACGACGGGACCGTGAGGGTGTGGGAACTACTAACAGGCCGGCAAGTGTGGTCCGTAAAACTGAATAGCGAAGAACCAGTCAACGCGGTCCGGTGGAGGCCGACCAAGGATGCCTTTGTCTTGGCTGCAGCGGCTGGCGAAGATATCTTCCTAATGGTCCCAACACACGCCAGCGTCACTCCGGCTCTCGACCAAGCCAGTAGGGATATTTTGGCGACAGGCTTCGGTTACGCCACAAACGGGCAGCAGCCGGCGGCCCCAGTTAGCAAGGAGCCAGCAGCGAAGTGGGCCCGGCCGGGCACGAAGCTCGAGGATGAGGGAGTCTTGATCAGGATTACCGTACGGTCAACCGTGAAGGTCATTAACTGGCACAGGAGAGGTGACCATTTTGCCACCGTCTCGCCCACCGGTCAGCGCAGCTCAGTAGCCATTCACACGCTCTCGAAACACCTCACACAAATACCATTCCGGAAACTATCTGGCCTCGCCCAGACGGCTGCTTTCCACCCTCTCAGGCCGCTGTTCTTCGTGGCTACCCAGAGGACAATCCGATGCTATGATCTCCAAAAGCTGGAACTCGTCAAGGTTGTCCAGCCTGGCGCGAAGTGGTATGTTACACGAACCAGCTGACAATGCGCGAAACTTTGTTACTGACGTGTTTCAGGATCTCGTCATTCGACATCCATCCCGGTGGAGACAACTTAATTGTGGGCAGCTATGACAAGCGTCTCCTCTGGCATGACCTCGATTTGTCCAACAGGCCGTATAAGACGATGAGATTCCATGGCCAAGCCATTCGGCAGGTCCGGTACCACAGAGGCGGGCTTCCACTTTTCGCCGATGCCAGTGACGACGGCTCCCTGCAGATCTTCCACGGGAAGGTTCCGAACGACCAGTTAGAAAACCCGACCATCGTCCCGGTGAAGATGCTCAAGGGGCACAAGGTTGTGAGCAAGCTTGGTGTGCTAGATATCGATTGGCACCCTCGGGAACCGTGGTGCGTCAGTGCCGGTGCAGACGGGACCGCTCGGCTATGGATGTAAGAGGGGCAGCGTTCGGATTGGTGCTCGGGTTCGATTATTATGAGTCACCTTATGTATGTATGTACGTACATTGGTCCTTTTTCTTGAGGCAAATATGCCGCGAGGCACGATACCATCAGGGCTCAGCCGTTGGACAGGGGGTAATGTTCTGTGATTTTCCGTCCGCTTCACTATTTTTACATATATATTATTCTTCCAGCCAGCCAATATCATGATGCCTTGCATAACTAACATCTGACGAGGATGTCAATTGATGCTGTTGGGCAGCGACCCTCAGGCCCGAGGATGTCGTCCCCAACCCAAGGCGGCCCACACCGCGCCTCTGCATGGTTACGTGTATCAGCCCCATGAAGGCCCCTGTCAAAAAAGCACACGAACTTCCATCCCTCTTATTATTTAATTCAAATATGAAGGATCTCTCCCATGTTTTAGTTTGGCCCTTTCCCCGCCCCTTCCGCCCGCCCCAGGTCCTAACCCGTCCCAACTCGTCCCACATCTTTCTCTCTCAGACCATGGAGTTCACACCGCCCCCAAACCGCGCAAACAACTCCAAGTCGACCGCATCAGCCATGGCCTTATACCCAGCCGGGTTCAGATGCAGGTAATCCCCGCTATCATACTCCGTCTTCAACATGGTCCCGTTCTTAGGGTCCCGCACCACCTTGTCGAAATCCACCACCGCATCAAACCGCCCGCTCGTGCGGATCCACTCATTCAGCCGCTGCCGCTGCTTCTCGCGCTCCGGGTCCCCATACACCTGGCCCGGCCCGCTCATGGGCGTGATGGTCCCGCCGAACGCCGCGATGCCCGCCCCGTGCAGCCGCGTGATCATCTGCTCGTACGCGAGGATGACGCGGTCGCCGACCCGCGCCTGCGCCGCCGCGTCCGTCGCCGCCGTGCCCAGGTCGTTGACGCCCTCGTATATCAGCGCGTATTTCACGGCCGGCCCGCGCGCCAGCACGTCCCGCTCGAGGCGCCCCAGCGCGTTGGGGCCCAGCCCGTCCGCCAGGATGCGGTTGCCGCCCGCCGCCATGTTGAGCACGGCCACGGACCGCTGGTTGCCGTCGCGCTGCAGCCGCCGCACCAGCTGGTCCGGCCACCGGTCGTTGCCGTTGGTGGTGGACCCGCGTCCGTCCGTGATGGAGTCGCCGACCACCGCCAGCGCCCGGTGGTGCGAGGGGAGCCACCCCTGCAGGGCGGAGGCCAGGAACCACTTGTCGATGCGCTGGGTGGTGGGCGTGGTGACGTCGGCGGCGGAGACGAGGTTGCCCTGGGTGAGCCAGGTGGCGGTGCGGCTGCCCGGGTGGCCGGTGATGGCGTGGCCGGCCTGGCCGGCGGCGAGGTAGACGGTGATGGTGAGGCTGGTCTGGGCCTTGACCGGGAAGCGGAGGGGGTCGGAGACGACGAGGGCGCCGTTGGGCACGGCGAAGGAGGGCGACCCCGAGAAGGTCAGGTGCTGCAGCGTGTCGGGCTGGATGGCGGGCGAGCCGGCCGTGCCGTTGACCGGCAGCGCGATGGTGGCCGCCGTGATGGGCAGGTCGGAGCCGCCGAAGGCGTTGCTGAATTGCAGCCGGATCGTGTCCGCGTCCTGGGTCAGGTAGACCGTCTGCCGGATCGTCGTGTTTTGGAAGACGCCGTCGGTGCCGTTCTGGAGGTAAGGGTGTGAGGTGAGTATGTTTGGTCCGGCCATGTGTGTGTTATTACCCCAACCTGCTTCCTAGGTGTAGGAGCAGGTGGGTAGGGCTACTAACATAGGGGGCATTGGGCAAGTTGTAGGGCTCAACCTGCTGCGGCATAGAGGCCCAGATGTCTATCCAGCGGTCGTCGTGGCATGTTGCGAATGGGACGCAGGCCGTAGCCAACGCGAGGCCGAGAAAGCGGCGGAAGCCGAAGGTGCTAGACATGACCGTGAAGGGCAGGGCGAGATCGCGAACGCTGCTGTCAAACCCCCCCCTCCCGAGCCCACCGCGGACCCGGACGAAGGGTTATTTATTATCGTCGACCCCAGACGCAGGAACCCGCTCGGCCGTTGCAACCCAGGGCCATGATGCTGTCGATCGGAGGATGGGAACCCGGAACGAGGAAGCTCGTTTTAATCAGGCTAAATAGGCGGCCGTACGGTTTCATCGCTTCGTCTTCAACCCAGGCGGCCCGGGGGCATGGTGGACTCGGTACGCATCTCCAACGGTCCTAATTGATGGAGTACCCGACTTCTGACAATTTCCGATGCAACCTCGTCCCGTTTGTCCCCCATAACCCCGCACCCGGCATCCGGGTAAGGGGACGTGGAGATTTGGAGAAAGAGTTCTAACAGGCGAGCATGCAGATCAAGAACGGCTCGCCAGGGGACAAAGGCCAAGTGGATATACGATGGTGACATGGTTGAATGCAGACACGCGAAGCTAAACCCAAAACCAAGACAGAGAACCATATTTTTACCCCATCCCTTTTTTTTCTCGATCCCAAGTTCTTCCACCAATCGCTTCCTAACCGACCCAGTCGTTTTGCTTGAATTCGTCGTGCCCAAAGACGTATGAGAAGATTGAAATAAAGGGTTTAAAAAATAGGGGACGTGATCCATCAGAGCAAAGAAAAGGATAACCCGAAGCGAAAACGAATATAGTTGACACCGGCCGAAGCATGCGAGACATAGGAAAGAGTTTCTTGCGGTTTGGTGCATGGGGTATAGAAAAGGAAAGATAACCAGAAGAAAAATCATCCAAGGTAAGACAAACTCGAAGGGAACACCGACCATGCGACAGATTCATACCAGTCGCCTCAAGGACATACACCAGCCACACCTCATCAACTCGTGGTCATCATCACCACTCAGCGTCGACCACACGCCGTCAACCTCCTCGCTCGCCGTTGAGTCCACCCTCCCATCACCACTTCCCTCATCAACCCCAACCATCTCTTTCAGGGTCCTATCCTCTTCGGCCTGCAAGTTCACAGCGGGATGGTGGTCTCGTAGCACCACGCGCCGGCAGCATTGACCTCCTCATCGCCCCGCATGGGCGACTGCACATATGCCCAGTCGCCCACGCCGCCACCGATGCTGCTGCTCCCGCGACTCCCCATGGAGTGCCCGCCTACTGCCAGCACGCTGCTGTTGTATCCAACGCTCGACGATGGGTGCGACGACGGCGCCCTGCCCACCGGGCGGCGTGACCCCATGCCCGCGTTGGCCGCCCAGTCGGCGAGGTTGTCCGTGCGGGACTGCTCGAGCTCGCGCTGGTAGACCGCCATGTTATGGTGGGTCAACTTCTGCTGGGCAAGGCCGGGGGTGTAGCGGGTAGCTGCGACGGGGGCGGGGGCGGTGCGGGGGCGGTCGGTGACGGTGCGGGTAGTGTCGTTCGTGCCGGGCGTCTCGGTGGAGACGTTCGACGGTGGCCTGTGGGCGACGCCTGGGCTGTCGTTGTTGGTGGTGTTGTTGTTGCTGTCGGCGATGGCCACTTCGGACAGGCTGAAGGAAGGTGTGCCGTCGGCCGAGGCGTTGGCAACTTGGCCCGAGGGCATATTGTCGTGAATGAGCTGGGGCGACCTCGCCTCGGTGTAAGAACCGTCGACGAAGGTCCACTCCTCGCTGGGGGTGGACGCGCGGGAGTGGGGAAACGTGTGGGGAGTGTTCATGTTGTCGAGAAAGCCGGCGGCAGAGGCTTCTTCTGGGAGGAGTCTCAGCATGGCGCTGGTTGGGCAGGTGCGAAGAAGAAATGGCCGACTTGGAACGGGGCAGTGGGAAAAGGAAGCTGACCTTGGGATGAAGGTTCCAGGTAACTGAGTTGAAGGGTCGACGGAGAATAGCGGAGACGACTCTATATAAGTACTTGAGTGCTGATGGCTTCGCGTCCAAAACACTGGTTGATGAAACCTCGAGGGTGTTGGGCCCAACTTGCGTGTCCGGCGAAGCGCTCGGGTTTTATACCGCCTAGGTGCTACCTATGGTAGATAGGTAGCTTACCAGCGGTGACTGGTATGGAAATTACCAGTGGTCAACGATGGCGTGCAAGCCACAAAATGTGCAGACAAGTAACGAGTGCGGGGCCACGGTGGCTCGGCTTTCCCAAGCAAGAGCTGCGCGTGCCCCTGCCGCCCAATGAACGAAGTCTAAACCACCCTATCCGGCCGGGAAGCGACGGGGGAGATTCGAGTGCGCCTGGCTACCACCCATGGTTTCCATATCCCATGGTAAAACGAAGGCGGTGGATCTTTAATCTGATGTACGACACGAGTTGACACACCGAGGTCGAGGGGGTAAACTGCTGTTTTGCACGAGCTTGGGACGGCATATTGCACTTCGGCTGGTCGGCTTAGGGGGGACAATGTCAGGTCGGGTCTATGCCCGTCCTCGCCTCACTTTTTCTCTCGTTTGCATCCCACTCCCCAGCTGCCGGCACCGCAGAGACTGTACCCCACATCCATGTAACCCTAGCATCTGCTCCTGATCTTGCCAGACCTTGATTTCCGTTTAGGGAAACTAGGTGAGCGCAGAAACACATAAAACACATACTCGGCGGACTTGGGAAGCCCCAACAAGGCGGCATTGTGGCCAGTTGTCCGATCATCGGCGACGTTGAAGCGAACCAAGGATATGGTTTGCACTTTGCAACTGGGCGCCGAGCACTCGGCTTTTCCTCCTACCATAACCGATCAGACAATTTTGAACAGTCATCCGTTCCCGAGGGCTGCAGCAAGAAATCAACCTCGCATGATCACGTCTCTCTCTCTGTCCAACACCGGCCTTGGACGCCTCAGCTGCCCCGCCGTTCGTCAGGTTCATTTCGATGATCCCTGTTGAAGCTTCCCCGCTCCTACCGTTGCTGGAAATGAATATTCTTTTGGTTGCCCTCAATCAACAAGTGACAGACAGCCCGAGCACAGCCCATCCGTTCGTTGCTTCGAGATCGTCTTCCGTCAAGACCAACCCCTGCAATTTCGAACAACGCACGATGGGGTGAGTGGAGGACAGTTGCAATTCTTTGCAGATCCCCCGAAAGTACCCCAGCCCAGGAGCCAGAAGTGGCCTAGCGTATGTACCGTGCGAGCCCCGAGATGATGTGCACACACAACCCAGCGGCTGGGTGGGGCTGAAACTGAATGTCGAGCTTCGATTAACATTCGAGAAGCTCGCCTACCAAAAAAAAAACTCGACAAGATCAGCCGTTTCCTTGTTGAAACATTTCGCACTCCCACAAACGGGCACGGACGGTGATGCGCAACAACAGATGCTGGCTGGCCTAGTTTACACTAGAACTTTAGGCCCCGAATGTGTCTCCAATCCAAATCAGGTTATCGGCACATCCCTGTCGCATCGCTGACAAGCCACAGCCGCAGCGGCGGGCACTGGAAAAAATGACATGTGCTGCTGCATTGCCAAACCGTTGCAGAGCCTTTTGCTGTCCAGCCGGGCAGGGACACACACCGCAGACGCTGCCCGTTTCTCACCGCTCCGTGCAGAGAACCAGGTCCGATGGGGATCGTCATTTCGTTCATGACGACATCTCACTACGCGAGCCGCGTGTTGTCTCTTTTTCACTTGCGTCCACGAATAGTCCTCGGCCACTCAGGACTCGAGATGGTTGGAAGTATGGTACGCAGCCTGCAGTTCTTGAAGGTCAGTTGACAGCACTTGGCTTGGTTCCTGCATCGGCCAAATATCCCGGATCCTTGTCGTAAATGCATCCTGTGTACGCCGAGGCGCTGCTTTTCCACAGCTTTCCCAACTTTCCCAGCAGCCCAGGCAACCAGGTTCACTAGTGGATGGAGTGAGCGTCGAAACCGGACCCTGTTTCATTCATTCCCGAGTCGCCATCCCATCGGTGCATCTCCGTGGCGTCCATCCTTCCCGCCATTTGCCCGATGGCAGAACGAACTTCCAGCCAACGAGCAAGGGTCACTTAGCGTTCGGCCGGCATTCCCAATTTCTGTTACCTCAGCAGACCGAGAACCCCCAACTTTCCACTATCGACAAATCTGTGTGTCAACCCGAAAAGAAGCCCTTCCCCCAACAGACAGGCTTGCGTGTCGTGCCCTGACCCCCCGATGCAAGCCGGACCAGAACCGGCAACCCCGATGCAATGCCAAGAAGATCGACAAATGCCCGGGGGGCCTGCTATCTGCCAGCCAGCCCAGCCTGACGACATCAATCCAATCCCCAGCCCTACCCTAGTGAATGTAGACAAAGTGTAGTTGGTTAGCGGAGCGAATCCCATCTCCCAACAGTCAACCCCCGGGTACCCCTACCCTGGTGCTGCATACAGATTCCGGCCCGCCAGATCACCGCCCCTGGGCTCATCTCCGAACAACCCACCAAGGCCCCTGCCTAACGTTACTTATTCGAACCCCAGCCGCTGTCTTGCCGGAGAGATACACATTCTATCCTTGGGATCTCAGATCTCGACCCAAAAAAGACGACCACCCCTCCCCAGCCTTCAACCTCCATCCGGCACATGCCGCATCAACCCCAGCAGCACTTCGGAAGTTTTTTTAGTGTACATGGTTGGTGTCGAGCAGCCAAACCATCCACAGTTGAGAGTTGCGGCTGACCAATTTCGATTATGCTTTCCCTAGTTACCCCTGCTGTGTGCTTACGGGCTAGTCCCTATGGATACGTAACGCCCAGAATCCAACTACCGGGTCATTCCTGTGTGTGTAACTAAACCTATACCCCAAACGTAGCCACTTCTCCAACCCCTTTGCAGTCCAATTTCGCCCGTTTCCATCTGTCGCACCGCCAGCCAAACCCACCCATGGCCCAGTGATCATCCCCATGTCACAGGGGAACAGACCGAGTGGAGATGAGCAAGCAAATCAGCAAGTACGGCGTTTGACGCCCAGCCGGCCACACCGCGACTAGCCAGCCCCTCCATCTCCAGACCCGCGGCGATGGTTATCGGACACGACCCCCTTTCCGTCCCTACTCCGATCTCCGCGGCCGTTGTCCGTCAGTCACCCACGACCACCACCACCACCCCCGACACGGGCCCTCACCTGGGTCTGGGCCTGTCCCTGAACCGGTGCCTGGCCCTGAGCCTGAGCCTGCGCCTGAGCCCGATCCCTCGCCATGGCCGCAACCTCGCTGCCCTTGCGACGCAGCCCGCCGGCCTTCAGACGACGGACGTCCTGGTAGGCGCGGTCGAGCTCCATCTCGATGGCGCAGCGGACGCGCAGGGCGGCGACCGCGGGCCAGACGCTGCGCTCGCCCCGCAGGATCCAGTACTCGAGGGTGTCACGGGTCGGGGTCTCCATGAGGCGGGCAAAGTCGCGCGCCGCGAGCCGCGGCACCAGCGTGACGCTGGGGCCCGGCAGGTGCTCGTCGACGAGGAAGCGCCGGATGGAGGGGGGCAGTAGGTGCAGCCGGTCGAGCTGCCGCAGCCCGGTGGCGGGATTCGAGGCTGACCATGCGCATGACGAGCGAGCGCAGGCCCGCGACGCCGAAACCGCCGCCGAAGAGCCGCGGCGCGGGCCCGTGCATGTCCGACTGCAGGAAGGGGACGAGGTAGGGGCGCGCCTGGCTGACGATGTAGTGGTTGACGTTGAAGAGCCCGGAAACGCGCTGGAGCGGCGCGTTGCGGTCCGTGTACGACGCCAGCGTCCAGTGCCGGAAGTCGGCCGTGTCCGCGGGCGCCCAGGGCCCGATGTTGCCGTGCGCGTCCTTGCAGAGGATCCGGGTCTGCCGGCGGCCGTATAAGGCGTCCGACGAGGCGTTGGAGGCGACGGCGGCCGTCCAGACTAGCTATGAAAAGGGGTTGGGGTGTTAGTGAGGGGTCTTAGGGGGTTGGGGTGTTTGTGAGGGGTCTTAGGGGGGGGTGGGGGACGACGGGTGGGGGCCATACCACGTTAGGCGCTGTCACATGGTTAAGAAGGGTTGGGATACCCTCCTGCCCGGCCGTCACGACGGTGATGTTGAGAATCCGCTTGCTGCGATTAAACGCTTCCTCGAAGGTTAGATCGCCGACGTTTGCTCGGACGCAATCTTCCAGGACCTTAACGTCCAGAAAATAGCCCTCTTCCTTGAACCGCCGTATCCTCCTAATGAAGGTAGCCCCCCACGTCCATATCGACTGCATGACTTGTTCATTGTGGGCGTCCGGGTTTTTCCCATGAGCGGCGAAAGCCGAGAGGTCGATTCCGTCGCCAGTAAGGATTCGGAGAAGGTCCTCCTCGGAATGGACCCCAACCAGTGCCGCTATCATTGCCCCGGTTGCTGTTCCGACGATGATACGTGGGAGCAGTCCCCTAAGGAATAGAGCCTTGACGACGCCGAGGTGGCACATCCCGAAGATGGCACCGCCCTGCAGCACGAGCGCACTCCGGCCGAATCCCTGTCTCGCAGAGGTGATGAAATCGAGCTTGTGCTGCGTCTGGAGGGACTGAGTCGCCATGCCGCTTTGGTAACGCAGGGTAGCCGGGGCCGCGCTTTCGACGCCATTTCCACCGATGCTATTGTCTCCCGCTATCTCGCCATCCTCGTACTCCGAGGGAACCTCTTCCACGTTCGGAGGTCCCCCATCGGCAGGCGGCGGCGGAAGCAAGGCGATCTCTTGAATCGCCTCAACATACTGCTCGACATATCTCTCGATGGGGGCTTTTGTTCCCGAGAAGCAGTAGTTAAACAACTTGGCGCTAGTAATATTCCCTAAATTGCGGACAAGCCCGGTGCGGAGCGTGTTGATGAGCCCATAGACATCACCCTCCTGGCGGGCGTTTTGGATGAGCCGGGTCCGTTCGTTGATGAGGCGGTAGTCGTAATCCCTGCATATCAGGTTGTAGCGCCACATATCGAGGCCGAGAATGCGATCGAGGTTATGAGCCGCCTCAACCCACTGGTCGTAGTCGGCTGCCTTATCCAATGCCTCTGACCATCTTCGGAGCGGTGAGGGCTCGAATAAGTAGGAAACGGTTTTCTGCAGAACGCTACACATCAGCGTCGGGGAGAAGAGCAAGAAAGGCAGCATCGTGGAGGATATACGCACATCTCGCCAGAACCACGCCACGTCCCAGATCGCGTGCCAGATAGGCATGAGGAATAACAGCATGAGCGATCTGATATTATACAGATGAGTTCCCTATACCCAATACTCGGTAAGACTTATGGATTGCATGGGTGGCAAGGTGAAAAAATAGAAGAGACGAAAAGTATTGCCAAAAAACAACTAAATTTCCTCCCAGTTTATTGAATGGGAGACATCTACGAATATTCGTAGGCAAAAGGGCGAGGTCAGCAGGTGGCCATCCAGGACCGAGTAGATTAAAGTGAGTCTGTGTGCGACCCTCCTGAGTACGTATTCAAAACCGTGAAAGCACAGGGAAGGAGGCGGTTGGCATTTTGTGGACGTGGGTGGCGGATGGCACAAGAGCAATTACATACACCGGAGTGTTGGCGCGGCACTGGGCAGCATGTGAAAGTTACAGATCCATGACTGTGGCCCTCTATTTTCATTCCCCACAGTGGAATGCTTGGCTATGTTAACGAACAGGGATGTCAACCGCGAACTGCGCTCGGAATCTTACATCCGTATTCGTATGTATGTATGTCCATACACAGGTCGTTACAGCCAACCGAGAGCAAGTATCCGCAAAGCGACTCGAGACCTGCCTCGACCTTCGTGGATGATGTTATAGGTAATGAAACCGGACAATGTGAGGCACTGCATGGTGATGTAGTCCAAATATTATCAAGTTCGCTTCAAAGCCATCTGGCAATAAATTAAGATTGAAATGTGCCATTTGCAGGTCCCTTTTAAGTCTATAACTATCTAATTTTCTGTAAGTTACCTCGTAGGCAGCAGGTGGCCTATGCCCCGTCGTAGAGGGACGCTTGTAGAAAAACAGGGCCTTTAAAGGCATGCGCCGGCCAGCGTCCTGGCGGGACTGGTGGTCCCCGATGCCCCCGAGTCCCGACCCATCTGGCCGACACTGCTCCGGTTGTATCCCAAAACCTGGTCATGCAACACCACAGAAAGTTGAAAGCAAACCACGCTCCTTGTAAATGCCTGACGAGAGGGAAAGCAAGACGGGATGAAGCCAATTGAGCAAATGCGGGCCAACAAGAAATGGGTGATAGCTCCCCACTCGAAAACCTCCGCTACTCGCTGTTCGCTGTTGAGGTTTCCTCCAAGAGAGCTGATGCTATCCCGCAGCGGCAGGTGGTCGTAACTCAGGTGCGACCAGGGAAAATAACCTCTGAATGTTCAACATCAACCTTCGTTCGGAGGTGTCGAAGGAGCCAACTGCAGCAGCTGGCTCTTCACCGCCGACTCCATCTCGCCAGAGGTCATTTCGACTGTGCTCCACCCAACGACCTTGTTGGCGAGCTCCAGTTTTTTCTCACATGCCTTGTACACAAGTTCTTCGACGGTTCCCTCGCTAATCAGTCGGATGATTTCGACCGGCCGCGTCTGCCCCAGCCGATGGGCTCGGTTCTCGGCTTGAATGTCATCCTGTGGGTTGTCGGATTGGTCGAAGATGATAACCTTGTTTGCCGCCGTCAGGTTGATGCCGGTACCCCCAGAACCCGTCGTTAGGAGGAAGACGGGGATGGATTCGTCGGCATTGAACTCGTTGATTAGCTCTTGCCGTGCGCTGACGTCGGTGTTTCCTTGGAGCGACAGATATTCGATGCCTTCCGAGGCGAGACACTCCCCAAGAATCTCAATCACTTTGGCAAAACGGGTGAAGACGAGGGCGCGGTCCCCGTTTGCTTGGTATTTCCGAACCAGTTCGAGGAGTGCCTTGACTTTGGCGCAATCCGTCCAGGAATCGTCGGGGAGATCGTAGCCCTTGATGCATTTGTAATCCCTACACCAAAGATGCAACTCGAAATCGGACAGAGCCTTGAGTTCGTTTGTGAGATGATCCAGCTTTGGTTGCTTCAGCTCTGCCTGAGAAACCCTCTTCATCAAGACCTCGGCCATCTTTTCAACATCGCGATCCTTGAAGAATCGCCGGAACAGCTGTGGGTGGATGGCCGATTTACGCAGCTGGATCCAGACGTTGTTTGTATCGTTTTCGCGGCCCTCTTTCACGCGGAGGTTGGCATCTTGCGAGTCAGACTTCCTGAACCGTCTCTCGTAGCTCCGGTAGATGGCTTCCTGGACCGGATCCATCTTGCAAGTGACAACCTTGGTCGTCTTGGGCGGTAAGTCCTGAAGCACCTGCTCCTTCCGCCGCTGGAGGATGAAAGGCTCAAGAATCGTTCGGGCACGCGCAACTCGTTCGCTATGCAACAGCGCCCCCTTGGAGACAGCCGTCAGGGAGACTTTTTGGCTGAATAGCGCTTCCAAATTTTTGAAATGGGCCTGGAAGAGGCTTGGCTCGACGAACTGAAGAAGAGCAATCATCTCCATGAGGTTGTTTTGAACAGGTGTGCCGGACAAAACCAGACGCCCAAGTGGGCGGTGATGCGCAGAAGATCCTTGTACAGCTTCGTCTTTGGGTTCTTCATCTTGTGACCTTCGTCAAACACCGCTACTATCGGCCGGAGGTGACGGAGGTTGGATATGTCGTCGCTCCTCGAGAGTTGAGTGTACGAAGTCAGAACTACATGATGGCTCGATGGATCCTCCTTGATCTCGTAGGCAATCTCGTCTCGAACCGCCTGGCTACCTTGGTAGAGCGTGACGTTGAGCTTCGGGGCGAACCTCTTGAATTCTGCAGCCCAGTTCGCCAATGTGGACGGTGGGACGACGATAACATTTGGCCAGGGACGATTGCTTTCGCTTTGGCCAGTTCGCTCCCAGGCTTCAACGATGGCACACATGAGCGAGATAACCTGGCACGTCTTGCCGAGGCCCATGTCGTCGGCCAATATGCTGCCGTACTGATTCTTATATAACAGGTAAAGCCAGTTGAGCCCGTATATCTGGAAAGGCTTCATCGTGCAGCCCTCCATGAGCTTTGGCTGGCGCAGCGGCACCTCCACCAGTTTCGTAGAGTCCTCCATGCTGAGCGGAGTCATCGGGCTTTTCCGTCATCGAGATTTGGAGTCGTTGCGAAGCTGGCCGGTCTGGTCGATATTCCATTTCGAGGTTGTCCCTTTTCAGTGACTCGGCTTGCGATTCGCACACTGCAATGATGTGGTCTATGTCGTCCAGAGCACGTGCGTAGGTTCTAACAGCCGAAACAATGTCTTCCCCGATAGATACCTTGGCTGATTTCTTGCCACGCTTTTTCTGAGATAAGGTCACTTTGCGGGCTTCCTCAAGGTTGTCGAACGGCTGGCGCGAAACCATCAGCTTCGCGCTGTCCTCTTTAACATTCGCAATTGCAACAAGCTGCATGACATCGCAAGTATTTAGGTAGTTCAAGACCCGTTCGTCGAAGGAATCCTCTTCCTCGTCCTCCACAGGCGAAGAACCGCGCCGTGGGGATGCGTTTGACTGTTTGTACCCGTCATCAGCGTCGTCATCGCTAACGAGGTCGATCAATTGCGGCCGGGGTGGTGAATGCTGGCTAAGCTTCAATACGGGGCTCGAGGGGCTGACCACGCCGGGGCGACGGCCTTGTACAAGGCGCCGACGGGTTGGCTTCGGCGGTGAGATTTGTCGCAAAGACTCAAAGCTCTCAAGCGAAGAGGTAGGTGAGAGCGACGACACCCAATCCTTCTGCAAGACATACGATTTTTCCGGGCTCGTTTGGAAGCTCGCTGGGGCGGACGTGGAATTCTGTCTCTAATCAGCTTCTCTGTTTGAAAGAGCGAAACGCCCTTGACCGTAACTCACTAGTTTCCCAGCACGCGGTTGGCTCCCGGTCGTGGAGTTCGACGTCTTCAACTCCTTAGGCTGGAACGAAGACGGACGAATGTCCCCCCTGGAAGGTTCGTCGTCATCCGAGGAATCACCGCCCGCGTAGATTGGCGCATCTAGCTCGTCATCTGAGATCATGACGAACTCCCGCTTTGCTGCCGTCTTTGTAATTGTCAAAGTTTGCCGGGCAGGTGCCCTGAACGCGGTACCGGCAGGGGCCATGAGGTTTGCGATTCGGCCTCCTCGTTGTTGAGCAGCTTGGGGCCGAAACGGAGAAGAGGCAGGTACTTCGACGATCGATTTCGGAGAGGAAGTTGTGGGGTTCGGTGCTCTTGAAGCTGACCGCCCGATTATTTGAGTGGGCTGTGTGAAGTAGGGTGACTGTGTTACTACACTCAAGTCATCGTCGTCGTCCTCGATATGAAAACGCCGGTGGCTGGCGAGAGGTGACGAGGAAAACTCCATTGTTGGAAAACCGGGTTAAGAAACGTGGGAGAGTCGTGCAAAATCGATAGACGGGGTTATTTTAGATCTGGAAGGCGAGTAAAAGAAGAATCCCTCGTTTGGCAACCGTCAACTCCCGGAAATTTGCGGTCAGCTACAAATTGGACAAGGGAGTAGGTGGGTGGTAATTAGAGTTAGATAAACAAAGAAGTGAAATTCGGATGGACCGATACAATGAGGAGCTAAGAAAGGAAAGAGCGCTGAGGAAAATCTCGATTCTGGGCTTCGGTTTGGCGAGAGCAGTTCGGGATGGAGAAGGATGGTGTTTTGAGTTGAGGAGCCTGCAAGAAGAATCCAGCAATCCCCCTGTCGGTCCGCAAAGAACGCCAAACTTATCGGCGCTCCACAACGCGTTAATGGGGCATTTTTGCGGGTCGACGCGACTAGGGCCTGCACGTCGACACGTGCGCGGTCAACGGTAAAGTACAGCGCCTGAGCATGGCGAGTCTGTGCCTCAGCAACACATCACATCATCCGCACATCCAAAGGAACCAACCAACCGAAGGAGCCCGATCTAAACTTAAACTCATCAGCATTGCAATTCATATAACAAACATTGACTCTTTGTCAACACTCCTGTGTGGATTTCCAAATCCAATCTCACCCCCTTGAATTACCTTATCCCACACCACCTACCCACCCCATCCTCATCATGGCCACCCGCCGAATCATCTCCCAAGAGAAGACCCTCCTCGAGAAGGATGACAGCATTGGCTCCAGCCCAGCAGCAGATGAGAAATCCAATATTGCCCCGGCGGTCCCGACGTGAGCACTCCCATCCACCTGCCCACCCCCCTTCATCACACCATTGAAGCTAATTCTCACAGGTCCGTCATCATGAAACTGCTCGCCTTCACCCTCGGCATGATTGTGATACCCATCGGGTCATACTTCGCCACAGTCGACTCAGTCTTCAACGGTAAGCCACCCCGGTACCGACGCTACCCACCCGACCTTACCGCAAGGAAAAGAAAAAAAAAGGAAAAACAAAACAAAAAAGAGGAATCCCAAGACTGACCATGTGTGTGTGTGTGTCAGGTAACTCAACCTACGCGGGTGCTCTCGCGGCCATCATGGCCAATGTGGTGCTCATAGGCTACATTTTCGTGGCCATGGCCGAGGATCAGAGTGACCAGCAAGAAGGGGGAGGCCCAGGAGATGGGAAGAAGGACCGGTGAAACGGTGTTCTTCGAGTTTTCTTGTTGAGTATTTATAGCAAGTTATCTAGTACCGACTTAGGCCCCATCTTAGACGGGAAAACATTGCCTATTAAAGGGGATGTATGTGATGTTCCCGTTTCAGGCTTCTCGGGGACGCTACTTATGCGACCAAACTCCCAAGATCAGGACGTAAGAATAGTTCACCGGGGGATGGGAATCATGCAATTTGCTTCAGTGTTCGTCTCAGCTTCCCATTACGTTTCGAAATACCAGCCCTAACTATTGCTTCCATGGTAAGACTTTCATTCTCACCCCTTCCCCCCGAATCCACGAGCATCGAGCGCTGAAGTCTCATCTCACAAAAAAAAAAAAAGAAAAAGAAAAAAAGAACAGAAAGAAAGACATGATTAGGGAAACGGCAGCGCCAAAACCGACAATCGACAAGAACCTCCGAAGACCCATCTCATTACTTTCTTCGTGAATCGCATAAAACCCATCAAACCAACCACAAGCCATGTAATCCGCATGTACGTTTAGGAGACAACGACCCACCCTCTCATCCCCCCCAGAAAATAGATAGACGATAAAGAGAAAAACCCCGCTAATGAGTGTCCAAGGTAGCCCCAACAAACTTTTCATCATTTTTACCGCCACGAAACACTGAGAAGAGCCAGCAGACCGCCCCAATTTCCCCCTGTTTCCCCCGGTGGCGCAAAAAAATCATGATTATGCCACCCGCCGCTTTCGAATAGCTTTCTGCTGACCTCGCCCAACTGTTTTCGGGTGGGTCGAGAAAAATGGGTATCGAAATCAACAAAATAAAACAATAGAAAAATCGGATATCCGTGTGGTTCGGGGCCAAGGAACAAGCGTCAACACTATCCGTGCTTGCTGAACCGTCGTGCAAACCAGCTCTTCCGTTTCTCAGGCTGAGCCGGCGGAGCCTGATGAGCCTGGTGAATAGGGTTGGAGACTGGTTTTCTCAGCGTCCCTCCCACATCTTTCCGCGGGACCGGCGGTGGAGGGTTGCCGTGGCCGTGCGCACCGCCCGCCTGGTAGTTGTTGTTGTTGTGGCCGTCACCTCCACCGCCTCCCGTGCTCAATGCAAAACTAGCCCCCTGGTACGATGGGCTTTGACTGAAGCCGATGACATAATCGTTCACCGGTTCCGGCTGTCGTCGGGGTACCGAGGATTGCACGCGCTCTACCGAGCTGTTGTCGCTGCTGGTGGGATCGGTATGATAGCCCGCTGGTTCCGCCGAAGAACCACTCCCGGCAGCAGTCGTCACCGTCTCGTACGACCGGTGGTTGCTCGGGAGCGAATAGTCCATCTGCTGTTGATGTTGATGTTGGTGTTGTTGCTGTCTATAAGAAGCGCCGTAATACGGTTCAGACGCCATCCTCGGCCATCCCCGTCGACCGTTCGGCGCCGGACCCCCGTAACCGCCATACCCTGGTTGCTGCTCGTAATAGCTGTCACGTTGCCCCATGCCGCTCGACCTTAGATCAGGAAGACTGCTATCCGCGCGGTTGGTATACATCATCGAAGGTGGACGGCTACCATAGTAACTGTCGTGGTTGAATCGGCCGCCGTTTCCATCTGTTCGTATTTGTGAGTAATACGCCACCATTCGGGGTTGGCGGGGATTCATACTCCCACCGTAATAACTAGCCCGCCGACTAGGTCCCCATGTTGTCCCCTCTGCATCTGACTAATTAATACATCATCCTACGTTGCCATTAGGGGGTTCTACTGTTCGTACCTGGGCGAATGATGGACCTCCGGTTGTTGTACCCGCCGTCAATCGCCGCCTCAAAGCTGCGAATGGTATCGAGAGGGCGTTCCCACCGACTGCGGGTCGGGTTTGAGCGGTCGGGTTCGGCTGTGTGGAGCCCAGATTAGCCTTACGCCCCAAATCCACGACAGTGTCTCAGATCGTACGAATTGGGTTCCCAAACACGTCCTTGTGCTGAATACTCCTCAGCGAGGCGAGCGAGGACTTGACAGTTGTGGCAACAGCGGCTGCGATGTAAGTCAGCGACGGCGCAAGCTGGGGTTTTTTAGATAAGGCTGCTCACAAGGTTCCGCCTCCTGCATGGCGAACGTCGGGTCCGCTTTACTGTGCAGCCTCTTCGCTTCCTTTTCGGCAGATGTCTCATGCAAGTCGATCTTGTGGTGGCTGCCCGAGCCTCGAGACTTGTCCGACCGAAAACTAAACGCTCGGGACTCCTAGGGAA